GTTGCTGGTCTCTGATCTAAGTATTAATTAGTCTTGACCCTGTTTTAAGCCTAGAGAAGGTCAGCGAGATGCTGCCACCTGCTGAGACTCTACCTTGATTAAAGCTGTGATATGTTGCCTCAGAGATGGAGTTTCTTGCAAGGATCAGCAGAGCTCCTTTCAAATTTGATATAATACTAGATGCACACAACATATTACATATGCTAAAATGTGGTTGGCTAATTTAAAGTTGTGTATTGTGTGAACCTGGCCAGTTTGATCATTCATGGGTTAGTCTATTATGGGAACCCAGACAATTGAGTTAACTCAATACACCATAATTCAGTTAACGATGGTTTACCACATTGTGAGACAAAGACATAAGTACTGAAAAGGAGTCCTAATGGAACTAAGTCATAAATACAATAGCTCCTGATCCTGCTACATCATTACTACTATACTGCTTTGTAATATGGAAATTCAAGACAGGCTAATAAAATGTGGCACTGTAACTTACTGTAAGGAACTCAATTTGCTATTACAGTAGAACTATCACTGTTTGGTGTGTCAGCCAATTCTATTAACTAAACTGAGAAGTAAATGTATTTTTTTAAAACAATCTCTATGCTTCAGCTGCTAACATGCCTATGGGCATAGGCAGAGAGGACAAATGACAACATGCACATGATTGCATAATCAGACATATGCCATGATTTATATACGTGCATCAGAACTTGTGGCACAATTGCAGTGTTTGCTTAGTGACATCTTTATGCACATAATCATTTTGATATCATTGCAATATGTTATCCGTGCCAATGAACAGGCCACTGTTTAATAAGCCATAAGTAAAAGACCTGACATAGTACAATGTGTAAAATCAGCTGTGACAATTGTATTTTGTCATTCACAAAACAATTGCTGATGTTCACACAATACAGATAGTCCTCACTTAACTGCCCTGTTTAGCAACCATTCAAAGGCACTGAAAAAGTAATTTTATGACCAGACCTTGCACTTATGACCATTGCAGCATCCCACAGTCATGTGATCACCATTTTTGTGCTTCATAGCCAGCTTCTGACAAGCAGAGTCAATGGAGAAGCCAGCAGTAAAATTGCAAGTCATGGTCATGTGATGCTTAACGACAACAGCAGAAGTGAGGTCGTAAGTCTGTCGCAGTCATGTCTCACTTAACAACCATGTTGCTTAGTGACAGAGTTGCCAGTCCCAATTGTGGTAGTTAAGTGAGGACTACCTGTAATTCTGGCTTTGGAAGGACAATGGCATCTGCAGGGAGGTCTCAAAAGCTGCAAAATAGTAGGTATGATGTCATGACCCCTTTTGTACATGCACACTGAAACAACAGGGAGCAGGTTTTGTGTGATATACTTCTTAGTATTTTATAATTCTATCCCCATCAATAAATAAATATAGAAAAGGTTCTCTCTCTCTCTCTCTCTCTCTATATATATATATATATATATTGGTTTTGCATTAACCATATTTGATTGGTTCAAGTCATATCCAAATACATTCTGGCTTAATGCACTATGTGATTCCAGTGTTTTTGTTGATACATTCTGCATTTGTTTTCTTCTGACCTAATTTTTAATTATCTCCATTAATAATTTGCATTTTATTTATTTATATCCAACTCTTCTCCAAAAGAAATCAATATACCTGCAACTCAGGATAACCAGTAATCTCCTAAATAGAATATAGTCTATAGGTTTGTTCACATGATAGAGGCAGCTTATATGGTATTAATCCAGCAAATCAAGGCCAACCTTTTCTGGTTGTTATTGGGTTTCTTTAAAGGTAAATTCTCCTTCAAGTTGAGCTGAACTCCTGGAGATTTTATGGACACATCCAAGTAGTTTTCTTGGCAGGTATACAGAAATGGTTTATCACTATATTTTCCAATATGTTGTTTCTTTGTTTTCCCAATATAGTCAACAGATGTGGTGGTATTGTGGAGTCCTTGGAGTGGTATGGATGGTATGGAGTGGATGTGGTATTCCCTGGAAGTACCCCATCCACATACTAACCAGTTTCAACCTAGCTTAATGAACAAGTACTGTATAATGTTTCTGACTCATTTGTTTAATTGGGTTCTCTTTATCTACTTTTAGGACCTGTGTGGAGAACGGATCATGCTTTAGGTCATATTTATGCAGAAAAATTGAAAATTCAAAAGGGTTCACAAACTTTTAAGTACCACTGTAGGTTTTAATTCTAAACTTATTGTAAAATTCCTTGGATTAGTGGGATTGATTTTTAGCTGGAATGTTTTTTTAAAAATCTCAGAATGAGACAATGGCTAGCCACTTCTGTAAAGAAAGAAGACTCTAGGTGTTGAACTTGACATACAGTGAGTCTTAAAAAAAAAAAAAAAAGTGTTTAGTCTTAGGGCATCCTGTTTTGCATTTCAGGCTTTTGAGCCAACCATCTCATTCATCTACAAAAACAAAAAATGGGCTAGATAAGAAAAATAGTTTTATGACAAAATGCAATGTTGGCTTAGCCATGGTTTGTTGAATAAACCATTACTGGCTGGTTTTATACATCAAGCCACAATTCTGGTTGATAAACCAATAGCTATGTTCATGTGGTCCATTAAACCCAATCAAAGAATGCTGCATCTTAGAACTATGAATCCAATTATACAATTTGTTATATTACATTCTTGGTTTATTCGTATGATATAAACTAGGTATGGTTTAAGTTTTCTGAGACAACACATCTTCCTGAGTGTAAAACCTGTTCAGAGTTTACTCTTAGATTCTAGCATTCACTCTTTATTGCATGGTCAACTCTTCAAAATTTTGAGAATATAATACTAGATCCTGCACACAATGGTATTTATGCTCCTGATGTTTGCCTTGGCAATATTTTGAGATGCCACAACAATCTTTATTCCCCTTTTCTCCAAGGTGCAGTAGAAATAAGTGCATTAGGGTGGAGGGGAAGAGAAGGTTTTCCATTTGCTACAGTTGCAGCAAGCTGACATTGACCCTTCAGCATGACCTTGTCTGGGCTGTCTCCTTAGTAACCGAGACCCAGAGCGAGAAAACCTTCAGAAAAACCTGCAGCCAAATCTCCTTTGGCTACCTAACCTTTCTACCAATCTGATATATTATGTTGTGCTCCGAGGGCAAATAGACCCATGGTCGAGGTAGGCAGAGGAGGGAAGAAAGCCTAGAAGCTCCCATGAACGAGCTAGTCCACTCCGCGGAAAGAGATCATTGATACACGAGGGGGCATGGTCCCTACACGTAGCCTTAACTTTTGGCCCGCCTCCTTTACTCTTCTGCAGTTCCCGCAGACCTGGCGTCAACAAAGATAACATTTCACACGCGCGCACACACTAGAAAGTAATAAAACGTGTCGTTCGTCTAGGCTCGTTTTGTATCAAGGGAGAAC